ACATTCAGCACATATATCACAGTCTTTATTGAATTTATTGAGTCTTGAATACATTTTTTTCATAATCAATATTTTTTATTATGGTTTTGTGGGGTACAGTTAAGGGTTAGGTGTACAATTACGTTTCATTCAGGCACCCTGTTGATATGAGGTGTTTTCCCATTCCCAGACAGATATTTGCTACTGTTAATCCCATCCCCTTTCCCCCGCATAGTTTCCCAGTACCGTCAGTCATTTTCTTACAGTATTACATTGGATGTTCAAGGTCCATTATATGAGTGAGGACATGTGATACTCGGATCTTTGTTTCTGTGAGAGGTCACTCAGTATTATAGACTCTAGTTCCATCCAGGTTGCTGCGAAATTCATGATTTTCAACAGCCAGTTTTAACAATCTGATTACCAAGTTTGTTCTCCAGTGAGATGAAAGGTAGATAGAGAGAGGGATACCGGAAATGGAGTGACAGTTTCCTTCAAATCCATGAATATAAGGCAAAAGTAAGTTCCTTCCTCCAAAGAGGATGGAAAATATTCCAGATATATTGAATTAGATTAGCAAACAGAGTAAAGCAAAAACAGGAATGGTTTGCAGAAAACAAATGCACTATTTTGAGCAGAGGATCCAAATTGTAGAGCTGTGAGACCAAATGGACATTAAGGCAGAGATTCATACTTTTTGAGACTATGAAGTCCAAAGTCAGACCCCAAGAAAAATATAGTCTGCTAAAAAAAAAAAAAAAAAAAAAAGATCAATAAATGAACACATAAAGATGAAGACTTGCCTATCACCAATGTCTCAGGACACTCTGATGAGCTCAGTTTGGTACTCATAATGTTGAGTGAAAAATTCTAGAAGCAGGGAGTTACCAGTGGCTGGTAGAGAAAGAAAGGGATCTGTGTAAAACTTACTAGTGGTTTTTGTCATTCATGCAGGAAATATCTACTGAGAATCTTCTAGGTGCCTCAGTATAATGCCTGGGGCTGGGCATAAGAGAGAGAAATAGAAACAACCTCAACTTTTAAAACATTCATATTCTGATTATAATGCAGTTTGAAAATTAATAACTGAGCACTTCCTATGTGATAGGCAGTTTACTATGGACCATCTTACTTTATCCTCACAAAAACTCAATGAGGAAGGCAGGTACTATAATTATTATCATTTTATAACTAAGCAAATATTAGGAAGATAAAACTTGTTCAAGGTCATGTCGCTAAGAAGTGGCTCTAACTCCAGGACCCAGTTTGCAACTATTATGCTATAGTCCTTCAGACACTGAATGAGAAGCAAAAAAAATATTAAAAATAGAAAGCAAAATTTCAGTTCTATCTATATTCAGCTCAGGAGAAAAGACTGTAAAAATCAAAGTAAAAAAGTATTAAAAATGTTCATAAAGGAAGCAAAAGTAAAAAGTTTAAAGAGTAGTAACCATTAAGAAGTAACACAAATCTCATATTACTATCTACAGAAAGAGATAGAGGCCGGACGTGGTGGCTCAAGCCTGTAATCCCAGCACTTTGGGAGGCTGAGACGAGGGGTTCGAGACCAACCTGGACAACATGGTGAGACCTCGTCTCTATAATAAATACATAAATAATAAGCTGGGCATGGTAGCATATGCCTGTAGTTCCAACTACTTGGAAGGCTGAGGCAGAAGGATAAACTTAAATGACTTCTATATATTTTAAGGAATCTCAAGTATTCACTAGGAAAATAGCATGCTTAGAATAATTATATTTCCCCACTAGTGAGGCTTTCTGTTCTCATCCAAACTAATCAAGTTAAAGCAAAAATCTAAAATTAGCTATTTGGTCATATCTTCTACACTATTCAGGCCCAATTTTAGAGCAAAACAAGAGTTTGGTATAGATTAGCCCATGAATGGGCTTGTCGGCCTAATATTCTTACAGAGATGAAATCTAGCTCAAAACAAGGATTAATAGAAGGCTCAACACACAACAGAACTTAAAATATAAGCAAAAGGCAAAGACAAGCAAAAGTTTTGCAGGGGAGGCTGTTTCCAAAGTGCACACTAATGGAAACTGAATTTTACACAAGGGGAGTTGTCTTCTGTGAAATGAATCCCAAGAGGTTGAGGTTAGGATATTCGCACAGCCCAACTATTGGATTTCATAATGATGATGACTCACACTTGTTCAACAAGGACAGTTTAACAAAGCACATCCATAGATAACTGCTCCTTTAACCTTGCTGAGTCAGGTAGGGTAGATGCTAGCACTCCAGTGTTCAGATAAAGACAGAGTCTCAGAGAGGTCAGACTCTCAAGGGTCTCAGGAACGGTAAGCAGAAAATCTAGCCCCAAATCTGGATTCCCAACAGTGGACCCCCTGCCCTTGTTCCTTGTGGTGGCTTAAACAACAATGACTCATAAGGCTTGCCTGCTGTCCCCATGAGGTTGACTCCCCATGATCCAGATGAAACAAGGACTGTAATATTTCCCATACCTATTCTCTACATGGCAAAAAAAACCAAAAAAAAAAAAAAAAACAAACCCTGCAGAAATGCTACATTTCTTTTTCATGCTTCTTTACTTCTCTTAAAATTTAGGAAAAGTTTTATAAGATTTCTTTTCCTGAATCTTACAACCCACTATTAAAGCCTTAGAAGTTGGCAGAGAAAGCAAGAAAAAAGGAAGCTTAAATCAGCTAAATAGTTTGCTCCAGGCTTACTATAAGAGGATAAAAACATGGTTAAGTTTCCAAACTCTTGAGAAGCTTATAAATGCTAAAATAATAAACTATAACTTGAAGCACACAATACCATTATAATTATATAAGGGAAAAGCGATAGATTAGAATAATAGTTTAAAAGTTATGACTTGCAAAAGCCTTATTTGCCATACCATTTTGAAAAGAATGACATAGGCCTATGAGATATTTGAAGTAAACTAAACTAACCCTTATTAATTAAAAGTGCTGCACTTTAAAAAATTGTATTCCATAATGACAAATAATAATTGTACATATTCATGCAGTGGTTTCTAGGCATATAACAGTGATGTTTCTATGCATACAATGTTTAGTGTGCACTTTTCTATTTGAAACCTCAACTGAGATTTCTTTTTAAGCTTATGCTAACTTTTAAATGAAATCTTAAGTTATGGCCTAACTCTTCACTTTTGCTACAGAAGGAAAGCATTTTTAGATGCATCATAGGTCTACCCATCCATAGCAACATAATAACCATTGTTTCCCAGTTCAGTGGCATTATGGCACCACATAAAATCATGAGTCGGAGTTGTGGGCATTTGCAGTTATGTGTTTATTTTTGGATTGTTATTGCTTCTGTTTTACAAACCCATGCAACCTAAACAGCAACACATTTGTCAAAACACACTGCATATGATGGTATTTTGCAAGTGAATTGGAGCACACTCACTTTTCACACTGATGCCATCACTAAATGACTATCATATTATCCACCCCTCTCACAGTCTTCCTGTCTTGACAGCTTCCACACACCATGGACTCCTATAACATGGGCTGATTATACCCTTTCTAGTTATTTTTACCCAATCTCACACCACAGTGGTCCTTATCTTTTCTAGTCTACATTAGAAAAACCCTATTTAGAATTTCATGTTCAATTTTTATTGCTGTGGTTTTCAGCAAGAGGCAGAGAAACTAAATGTAGAGGCAATAGGGTATAAACAAAGAGAGGTAGACTGATCTAACAGCAAATGCTAGCTTGGATCATTCACTAGTTGAGTGCCCTTGGACAAGGGGTCAGGATGGGTGAGTTGGTGGAAAATAGTACTTATTGAGTGCCCATTTTATGCCACTGGCTTCACATATCTTATTTGATATAACAACCCTATAGATAAGTTATTTTATTCCTACACTTCTAGGGTCTTTTCTTATTTATTTATCTTTTAAAGATTATCAAGAGAAATATTCAATATCTAAAGTTCAAAGGATTTAACTAACTTGCCCAGAGTCACAGAGTTGGATTTAAATTCAGGTCTAAACCCAAAGTTCAATAAATATTAATTCTCTTCCCCCAGGGAAAGTACAGAGAATGACAGTTTGTATTATCAAAGGGATCAAAAGTGAATTTTATGAGCAGAAGTTGAAGAACATAAGCTTTTTTAGGTTAAAAGGATGTTCTAGTTACCATTTTAAAAATGAGATTCTCTAAGAAGTATGTTTCCCAGTTATTATCTATGTCCAGCACTTAAAAATGTAAAATAGTACAAATTTTGGAGGATATAAGGAAGGATTTTTCTGGGTCTGTCTCATTTGCGGGACTTTTTATTTGTAAGGTACTTTTCTAGGTGCTGAGGATCTCCAGTGAATAAAATCTCATGTTCCGGAAACAACAGGCCAGAATAGAGAAGGTACTCAATATATGTTGTATTACTCGATAATTAGATAATAAGATATAGTAATGGCATGCAAGGAAGATGATCACATCTCCGAAATTCTTCAAATTGAGCAAAGAAAATAGTGTTAAAAAGAAGCTAGGAAGGCCAGGCGCAGTGGCTCACACCTGTAATCCCACCACTTTGGGAGGGAGGCAAGAGGATTGCCTGAGCTCAGGTGTTCAAGACCAGCCTGGGCAACATGGTGAGACCTCCTCTCTTAAAAAAAAAAAAAAAAAAGCACCAGCAGCTAGGAGACATAGAAAATCTTCTAGACAGCTTAGATTAGTGATCCTTAACTTCCTGAGAATGGTAACACTTCAGCTATGTTTCACTGTGCAATGTTCCTTTCTCAAGAAGCTAAATGTCCACAGCCACTCATTCAAGTCAATCTCCACTCCATGACCACTCTGTATAAGACATCACTATAGTACCCTTCATTGGTTTCCCCACCAAAGATCAGCTTTTCATTCAACCCTTCATCATACAACTTCTATACGGGCAACCATAATTGAGATTATTTTAAAATGAACCTTGAATCATGAAATCAGAGGTGACCAGAAACCTCCAAATTCATATTGAAGGGTGCAGGAAGTGACCAGAGGGGCGGCTCCCAAAATGGCGCTGACACACCAGACACCAAAGGTCCTAGGTCCCGGCTTCTGTGAGCACAATTCCCCGCGCACGCGCGAATTTCAAACCTTCCCGCTTGCAAATTTCAAACCTGCAAGCCTCCAATCCATAGCCAGCTTTGTTATGCATCCAATAGGACCATAATGGCATTGGCCCCACCCTACTCCCCATGCAGCTCCTCCAATAGGAGCATAGCATGGCCCCTTCCGGCCCCTGTCAGGCTGATAAATACAGCCCTCTCCCCCACAACTCTCTCTCTCTCTTTTTCTTTTTTTTCGTTACAGATCCTCTCTGTAACAATCCCCTTTCAATAAATCTCTTGGTCCTGGCCAGGTGTGGAGTCATTACTGGCGCCGAAATTCTTTTACATATAATACAGGTTTCTTCATTTAATCGGGCACATTTCCAAATTAGTAATTTCTAACAATGATTTTGTAGTAACCCAGACCACCTATAATTACTTTAGCTAGGTCAAAAGATTTCATAAGGCTAGGTGCAGTGGCTCAAGCCTGTAATCCTAGCACTTTAGGAGGCCAAGGTGAGAGGATTGCTTGAGTCCACGGGTTTGAGAACAGCCTGGGCAACTTAGTGAGACCTCATCTCTACAATAAATCAAAAAATCAGCCAGGCGTGGTAGCGTGCACCTGTAGTTCCAACTACTTGGAAGACTGAGGCGGAAGGATCACCTGAGCCCAGCGGGTTGACGCTGAGGTGGCTGTGAGTGTGCCACCACACTCCAACCTGGGCGACAGAGTGAGACTCCAACTCAAAAAAAAAAAAGATTTCATAAAATTTTTAAGGTTTTAATTTATATATCTATATAAATTAATATAAACATACCATGCACATATTCAGGATACTTTATATCAGTAGTGATCTGTGTGATTTATACTAGAAATTTTCACCTTTTAGAAAATGAAACAACTCATCCTTGTTTGTTTTGTAATATGTATCTTTCAAAAGCATGAGGTAAAGGGACAGAGGAAAACTCAAGGACCCATTCATTTGAGACTTATTAGAACCTCTCCAAACCTATTTGAACCTATCTTTTGCCTCAAAGACAAGCAAGCCTAACAGTTACAGTTCTCATTCACATTGCCCTCAAATTAATGTCTATTTTGATTTGATACAATTTTTATAGTCTAAGGTAATGAAACAGAGACAGTGTAATGCATGAACTTGATGAATCTTGTACCCTACTCATTCCAAAAAGAGGTAGAATACTAACAGTTAACTTTTAGTGAGTGCTTTGTGCCAGGATAAGTTCTCTAAATGTGTTTTCTCATTTAATCCTTACAACACATGCATATGAGGTGAATAAATTATCCGTCTTTTTAAAAATAGAATTAGGGCTACTTTGGGTTTATGCCATATTTTTGAGACCCTCCACCTGCATCACAAGCACATCACTGAAGAAAGGAGAGGAAGTTGGATCTCCCAGAGCCTCCACTTTCTTATCAGGTTATACAACTGTGCCATTCTTTATTTTGGGCATTTTTCTATGGTTCCAGAATGAATGTTGACAATTTTCAGCATCTATAACATTTTGGATGAGCAATTTCCATATTATTGTGTTCCCTCGCATATGGTGTTCTTGCTCAAATAGCACTGGTATTTTTAACTTGCACATTATTAGTAACTACTTTGAATTATTCTTCATTGACAAACATTCAAGCTAGCCATCACAAATAAGAAAATTGCTTGTATTGCTTAGGTTACTCTGTTCATTGATTTTTCAGACATAAAATTTCCAATAGAATAGCTGTATTTTACATTTGGTAGCGTTGTAAAGATGACCTAATCTAAAGTTACCTCTTTTTAAAAATGAAAATCTACAGCACAGAGAGGTTTAAGTGCCTCTTGTAGGTCAGATAGTTAATAGTAAAATCCACTAGTAGCAGTCCAGTGCTTTTTCTGTATAAGAAAGTCAATAATTACCTTGAAACCCATATTATTATGCAGTGCCTGCAGAGGATGCACCAAGAATAAATAATTGGCAATTATATTATCATCAGTATTGAAATGTAACATGTGTATCAGTAAGATAACACTATCTGTATGTATCATCTAACTTATGTATCATTGCTGTATTGTTCACAAATTTTTTCTGTATGCCTTATGTCCCTAACTAGACTGTGACTTGGTGAAAGGCACAATTTCTTTTTTAAAAATGTTTCTCATAGCCTTTATTAAACCCTAGACATACACAAACTGTTACAATTGGATACATTGACATAAATATATTTATATTTTAGATTAATATTATATTGCTCAAAATAAAGGCAAACAGCTCTCATCCTGTATGGATGCAGGTGAATTGCATCCGGTTGGAAGGAGGAAGTTGAGGAAATGCCCTCATTTTTAATCAAGCCCTGAGACGGTTCCTGAGAGTAAGGGGTTTTAGAAGTTTGAAAGATTGGTAAAGGTTGAATCAGAAGCTAGATGAAATGTTGAACATGTGGCAGTATATGCTGACCAAATAGCTCAATAAAAATAACCAGTGATGCCAAAGTACTTACTAAGCATCAGGCACTACTCTCAGTACTCTGCCAGTATAAAATAATCTGCACCTCACAACCCTAGGTATTTTTCCCATTTTGTGAATGAAGAATTGAGGCCCAGTGAGGTTATGTCATTTGCCCAAGTGAGCTCCCCACTAAGTGGTAGAACCAGCATTCAAACACTTGACTGCTCACGGGGCTTGAGCCCCTAACAGCAGTTTGATAAATAGGACAAGACCAGATGGTGTAGGTGGTGTTTGATGCACTGCTAACAAATGCTTGGTCTCCAAGTGGGCGCTCAATTAATGTTAGTTCCCCTGCTTTCTGGTTTCCAACCCACTCTTCCCATATCTATTTACCCACCCACTCCTTACTCAGCAAATACACACACACACACACACACACAAAATGCCACATTCACACTCACTCTAATCTTTAACAACAAAGTCCACACTCAGGTATCTGGTCACTGTCTATTCATACACTCTTCTTCCTGATGGGACTTTGGCTCACATACATAAAATGAGCCCCAGGACCAACCCCTGTTCTCCCATGTCTTAAGGCAACTGTAAATATACACAGTGATGCTGACTCTGGACAACAAAACACAGGCACACGTTTAGCCTGATACACGGCAGAGTTCAACTCAATAAGGACGCCTCTTTTCCCATCATCCGGGGAAATGCATGAGTTACCATGACAGATGCCAAAGACGTTTGGCTCTGGTAGTGGAAATTGGAAGGCAGTGGTGAAATGAGGTGAGAAATTCCAGGGCCAGAAGGTGGACGCAAGTCATCAACGGCTTATCCCAAGAGCCTGCTCTTTTTTGGATAAGTGCTACACGTACAAGCCCCAACCCGCTACCTAAGCCACCCCATTCTGAACCCCGCTCAGGCTGGAACAGATGCACACGCCGTGGGGAGCCTCATTTGCAAGAGATGAGTGTTCCCTCGCTCTATTTTAATCCTGGCTGCCCCGCTGGGGAAGGTTTTGTCAAAATGGTGAAAAACGGTGACAGCCAAGTTTTCTCATACAGAGGCAAGGCAGCCCAGAGGCGGCGAATCACGCCTCGCACAGTGTTTCGTGGTTCCGGGGAAAACAAGTGTCGCTCCGGCCTGCCCGCACTTTCGGAACCAGCTCGGGCAGCGGTGGCCGCGCCGGGGCGACGACCCGCCGGGCTCCACGGGGACGCGAGCAGCACCGTCCCGGATGGAGCAGCGACCGAGGGAGAGTCTCCTGAAGCGGCTCCTGCCTGATCCCCAAGGACCGAGTCGGCCCCGACAAGTTACCCTCCCGGCCCTGCAGGGGGAAGGGTAAGTTCGAACGCCCAGTGCTCAGCCCGGAGACCGGGCCCGCGGGCCCCGCCCCCGCCGCGCAGGCGCACACCGAGACCTCCAGCCCCAACCCCACCG